ACAAGACCAGAGTGGGGTTCAGTCCTCCTGCAGCCCCACGACACACAGATCAGGGGAGGAGAGAGAAACTGAACAACACCAGAGTGGGGTTCAGTTCTTTTCAGTTCAGCATTATCTTTGCCATAATGAGATGTGTTACTGTTTTAAGGATGCTTGCAGGGTTGCAATTTCTGGTTAATTCTGGAGCCAGGAGAGTGCCAGGAGAGTGTTGAAGCCCTTGTGGCTACAGGAAGGCCACACATGACACATTTTCAGTTGCACTCCCCTGCTTTGATCATCGACGAGGAGTGGGGACTTTGAGAACTGCCTCTCTCTGTTCTGTGTGATCCTCTGAGTATCTGTGGGAAAAAAACTCTGATTTCCTATATTGTGGAAGCCTCAGGCTACAAATGATCTCTCCTATTTTGATGACGCATTCACTTGTGGGCACCTGTGTTTCAGAGAGGGAGATTCAGTCCTGGGCAAGATCCATTTTCATTATGATGCAGGTATTTTTGTTTGTTGTGTATTTAGATTACAGGGGTGGATTTTCTACAGTAATTAAGAGTCTGGAACCCACTAATTGTGCATATGTGTCAGAGTCTAACTGTTGTGTAGTTGTGCTATTTTTAATATTTGTCTGAGATCAGAGGCCTGATTATTACTCCATCATCAGAGCTGCTTCAGAGAACATTTTCTAACACTTTATGTATAGAAAGGAGCTTACCGAAAAGAGTGTAATCCACATCTAGAACAAGCAGTCTCTTTCCTTCTCTTGGAGGGTTAAGAATTTCTACTTTGTAGTCTTTAACTCGCCGGGCTATTTTTGCCAAGTTTTCTTCTCTACAAAAAACACAAAAGACAATACATTAAAGCACAAACCCAGAATACAAAACACATAATTAAGACACAAGATGCAACAGGGGCATGTTATGGGCCTCATTCGCTAAGAAGGCATTACATTTCCATTATCATGGCATGGGGCAACTCAGAACATATAGGTATGAGAGCATTACGTCCCCCGAAAATAGGACTAAATTGACTGCAAATAGGATTGATCTCACTTCATCACTCGAGAATTCTGCAGACTGGGAGCCAGACAGATCTAACAGCTGTCAGCACCAACACCAACCTGTTCTCCACTTCTATAACCTCCTCTTCAAAGTCAAAGTCGTTAATGACGTCGTCGTTTTCCGGCGGCGGACCCAGGACATCTTCCTTCACCATACAGAACAGGAAGCAGAGCACAGGAGTCAGCAGGCGTTGCTTACAGTAGAATGGTACCACAAGGTTTTTGCGGCCAGGATACTGGATTCTGAGTGGCTACTATACCATAGTTTTTCAAACAGCAAGCCCAGAAACCCCAACCTGAAGGCCAGAAGAGCCCGCTCATGATGGAGCTGAAGGTTTACGACTGGTAGCCAGTAAGATGTTTGGAGTGTTTCTCCGTTAAAAGGAACTTCCTGTGTTAGACAGTCAGGGAAAATGTTTTGGGACCTATTCTGCAAAATTGCAAGTGTCAAGCCACGCAGGAAGAGCTACCAAGGGTCAACAACAGAGCAGTACACAAGCAAAATGACAATGGACCTCTGCATTAATTTCACGGCTGTTCAGAAAGAGATTTTAATCAACAGAGGTGCAAAGTGAAACACTAAAACGTGACTCACCAGGCTCTCTTCCCGGCTCCCCATCATCATGATTTTGGTGTTCGGCTTGAGCTTCAGCGTGCCCAACTTGATGTCATCTTCTGCGGCCTTCCCTGCACGCGAGGCGAGAGGGCGAACCAACAAGAGTGCCTTCAAAAACCTCATTTCAGACACGGCCTTTCAATTAACAGACTGGCTCGCAGGCCACAGAATAGAAAAACAATCCAGAATTCTTCCGGAGAGGTCAGCAGGTACACTACCACACGATCAGCGAAACAGACAGAAGAAATCATTCACATATTGTCTGCAACCCAAAACTCTGCTTTTAACTCGTCAATGTGTATTATTACTGCTTTAAACAGAAACCAAAAGACAGTCGTTTTAATTGCAATTACAAATGCATTCATTTCATTTTTGAGTACCGCGGTATCACAGTAGATCATTGATTATTCAGTGACCAACGATCCAGATACCAACGTTTTCTGGCAGTCCTAGGCTGATTTCGCAAAAGTATATCATGTAGTATTTTAAAAAAAAAATTGTTCTCATTCAACAGGTGCTGTACTAAGTGTAATGTACTTTGCATTCACCAAGCTGAAGTAATATGTATAATGGTTTAACATTGCAGTACTATACTTTAAACGTGTGTAGTGTATTTATTATTAAGTTCTACCTGATGTTAATTGATAACTATTTTAAATAGTAAACAAAATCAAAACATATACAACAATACCCCCAAAACACAAGTTTAAATATCATCAGTTAAAATATTGAATCTAAAAGAATATGCAAAAAAGCTACTTAATAATTGAGGTGTTCATCTGCTGTTTATGAAAATCCTCCTAAATATGGATTTTTTTTATATATACTGTACTTTAGGTCCTAGTGATCAAAAAATGTTTATTTTAAAATTGTACAACTCAGTACACCTCCATGTCTACATACCTACTCATCCAGATACTTGTATATGTGTATACACACAAATACTGTATACGTTTCTATATGGATATAAGGAAGATTTTTCGTGCAGTGGGTTTGCTATTCTAAATTACTAACTTCATAGCCCAAAAAGTTCTCAACAATAATTCAGGAACTGAAAAATGAGCTGGAAGGTCCTTCAGCAGCTCGAATATTTTTTAAGCCCTATCAAAGCACAGTACTGCATTTACCCACTCATGCGTGGGCTTCTCTGCCTGTCCTACTGTAGCTGATACTTGTTGGCTGTCCATTATGGGTTTGTATTGGCTTACCTTTCACTTTGAGCCCCAGCAGTTTCTGTCTCTCCGGCAGAACACCTGTGAGTGATTTGATGGACTGTTTCAGGTCAAACACTGTATCTTCTTCACACAGGGTGGTGATGGAGTACTCCTGCCCGCCCCATTTTATGATGACAGACACAGACATCCTGGAACAAAGGGCTTGGTCTCTGGGAAAATACAATGGGACAAAGTGATCGTTCTGGGAACGAATCAGAACTCCGGGGACCGTATTAGTATTTGCACTCAGCTTGAACACACATGGCATAATGTACACACAATACAAAAAGTCTAAATGTATGAGTGTAATAGAAAGGCTTTTAATCTGAAACAACAGAATTTTAGTTTAAAGGGCATTTTGTCTTGGAATAATAAGATTTGTATTATTCTGAGAACAGAATAACATAAGACTGGCTACAACTGAGAGTAGGCCATTGATGGTTAGTAACTACTTGATTAAAGAAGCTGATTCATTTGGTTCAGCTATATGGCTGGGCCGCTTGTTCCACACACCCACTACACTTTGTGTAAAGATGTGACTCCTGTTCTCAGTTTTTAATGCACTTCGCTACAGTTTCAATTTGTGCCTTCTGATCCTGGAGAAATCCGGTGGGCTGCCTTTGTCAATGACCTTTGACGATTTTAAATATTTAGAGAGCTCAAAAGTCTTCTGTGCTCGACCTAAAAAACATCTGTACTGTCAACCAGTTTAAGATGTTCCTTTGAGCTCAGAAATGTATCTGATCGCTCTTCTCTGGATTCATCCCGGAGCAGAAATATCTTCATAAAACGGAGAACCGGTGGTGCTTCCTTACACAAATGCAGGCAGGAGTCTGTAACAGGCTGCCAGCAATGCTGTTGAAGCTGATACACTGGCTTCCTTGAAGAAACAATATTAAAAATATTAGACGCTCTGATGAGTAAGCTAGTGAAAAAAGCCCATAAGGTAGCTGGGCTGAATACTCTCTCCTTATCGTCTGTAACCATTCTTTGTCAAAAACTATGGCTATGATAAGACTATATTCTGTGAACTCTCTACAACGGCATGCCCGATGAACTAATCTATCTTGCACACAACTCACTTTGAAACTGAAAAGCAGGCCAGCTCCTGCAAATCGAGGTCTATCAACGCACTTCGAATGAACAAAGCAGGGAACCTGTGCACTTCTGTGGTAATACCCTAAGCCCTTGTCCTGGCCCCAACTCAGTCAGTCTGACAGACGATCTGTTTCTAAAGATATAGATGTATGGGTACATCTATGGCTAAAGAATTTAGCACACGATCTATTCAGTTTAGAAAACTCTGCTCCTTGAGGACTTCAGTCTGGCAGGCCTTGAAGGTCACCAAAATAATTCCTAAAGTCTTGCAACAGTTTCTTTCTGTTTACTCAGTAGATTTATTAAATTCGTAAGTTAGACATCAGTTGGGATCACGCTTGCTTGTACTTTTGGCTAACGAGCGCACTGCTTGTTTAAATGATGGATATTATGGTTATTCGTTATCTTAAGAAGCAAACAACTAATTAGATTACAATCTCCAGACCTATACGTTATCTGTAATGTACAGGTCTAATCGCATTTACAACACAACTCGCTTTTGATTGTTCTACTTTAATGCAAACCACAACATCTCAGTCTCAGTGCACAATTACAACCGTTTTGGTGTACAGTGAACGCAAATTATAAAATAATGTTAGAATTTTCCTGGTACATATGTTTGTTTGGTTTAAATTAAATAAACTTTACAGTTGCAGTCATTACAGTCCACATTCTTTTTCTCCTATGTGAACCGTTATCGGTTCGATTCGGTGTGAAGTTCAGTTTCAACGCAGGTACAGCTCACAAACATTAGCCTTACTGAGGCTGAAGCCGGCGGAAACCGGGATGTTTGAATACAGAGATCATTGTTATGGTTCATTTCAATCAGTCATACACTGAACACAAGGGCCTCGTTCGCTGTACATTAAAAACGCAATTCAAACCTGTACACATCCATACCTATCAATTGCAAAAAATCAGCGATTTTCACCAAGCCACCTCCCGGTTATCTGGTGATGGGTGACAATTATGCGACTCGTAATTTATGGATTATTTCAGTTTTATTCCCCTCAGCGTTAATTACTCAGCAGTTTCTTCCGGTCTCCCAGTGATGCTCCAGTGTGTGTTACCAAGCGCCCTTCGCCTTCAACTTCCTGTGCACGTACCGATGAACGTCGCTAGAGGGAGCAGCTGTCGGAGAACCCGGAGGCTACAGCTGCAACTAATATAAGCATTTAATAATATTCCTCCCTGCCAGTTGTGCTGTAGACCAGTTTAATAACCTTAAAATCAAATATAGAGTATCGTAAAATAAAGCTCCTGAGGTCATACAAACCTCAGGTTTAAATCAACAATTTTCAGGGCTTGCTGCATTGTTAAAAAGATGTGTATTGCAACATTATTTCATTTTCATTTTTGAGCGATGTCTTTGTCCTATTTTCCCATAACGTTGCTAGGCCTAGCTTTGCCCAGATCGCTAAATTTACAAGAGTCAGATACTTGCGTTTTCAAATTGCGTTTTATGTCAATATGTGTGCTTTTCAATAATCAAAACTGAACATGGAAGTATAAATCGCTTAGGAGAAATGTGAAATATCAACGACTTCTGCACTGAGCCCTTAAGCCCACTGTATCAAGGCTGCACAGGCGTCGATTTGAATGTGAAACCCGTTTTGCAGACTTATTCCCCTCTCCTCTGTTGCCGTTCAGCACAGCTGCTCTTTGTGATGCAGAATCTCAAGAGGCAGGACCTGACGGCGCTGGGAGCCAGGGTCTTCATTTCTGTTGACCTTCGCTGTGTGCCGGCCCGTTTTGGTTTTGCTGCCCTGAGCACCCCTCCAACCAGACAGCAGAGGGCGACGGGGAATGGTAATGAATAATATTCGATATTCCAGTGGACTGTTGCGTGTGGGGTTCTGAGAGAGAAGCAATAGAACACCAGGGACTAAAAGGGAACTACTGTAAGTTAAGAACGAAAGAGGGAAATGGCCCCAGAATAATGACACCAATTAACAATGAGCCAGGTGTCAGGTTATTTTTTAATAACGTTCTCATTATTCGTTCACATGAACAATGCTTCCCTTTTGAAAGGACACAAAAGATCTCAAGGAAAGGTCCACTTTCGCATCTCGAACTCTACAAGAAAAGGCTGCTGCTTCTTTTACTGTGCAGGCCTATGGACGTGCCCCCTAGCACAGCCGCCATGATTAATTATTCCCGTTCCTCACCTGAGAGTGGTCGCTTTGCAGCCCACAGACGCCCTCTGAAATAACTAAGCGGAGAGACGGCGAGGCCTCGTTGATGCAGCACCCCGATCTTATCGCAATCCTATCGCTCCACAATCACCTGGGCCTGACTGAAGACCAGGCCCTGCAGAGGTTGCTGGCAGGTTTGAGATTTTAATTTGGTACAAAAAAAAAAAGCCATTTTCCTGAACAACACCCATTAAGTCACACACAGAGTGCATTCCCTCTGTGCAGCTTTTTTAGGAAGATTTAATAGTCGGAGTACTATTCCGGTCACTTTCTATTATTATCACGAATGGGGGATTAGAAGTGATCACTGCATGTGCCTTAGAACCTGTTCAAGGACTTTTCCACACCTGCCACAATGGCTGTTTTCGACAAGGTCTGCAGATATTCCTGAGATGCCACGCAAAACGGACAGCTCTCTTCTCGGCAAACAGTAAATGTAGACAAACACAGATCAGGTCAGGTTCTACAGCCCATCGATGTCCCCTTCTCGGAAGGGTTGTGAGTTCAAGCTGTTGCAAAGCTTTATTGTCAGTGAAGCACAGCTCCAGTCCCAGAGGGCCTCACTGTCTCCTGGTGTTCATTTCAGCTCTGCTCTTAATGGCCCCATTGAGCTCTTCAAGTAGTTAACTTGGAGCAATTCAACTGTTATCCAAGGTTTTCTGCTGCTGAGTTAAAGGGGCCATTATTGTATGAGCCGCTGCATTTGCACAAACAAATCTAGATTATATTATACAATGTGTGTTCCTAGATATCAGTCATTGTGAGCTAATATAACCCTGGCAATAACCCAATAGACATTGGGAACTTGACAGGATCCACCCTGGGCAAAAGCCTGTCTGTTGCAGGACACACACATGCCCGCATACAGGTGTTTAATTTACAGATGCCAGTTAACCCAGATGGCATGTATTTGGATTGTGGGAGGAAAGCTGAGAACATGCAAACTCCACACAGAAGGTGGCCCACACCAGAATCAAACCCTAGGCCCGAGAGCAATAAGGCAGCAGCTCTGTCACACCCCCATGCTTCCTAATACTTCAATCTTTTGCACAGGTCAAGGGGAGCCCAGTCACTGTGCAGACAGCTACTGCTGGATCTCCTTCAGCCTGTCTTCAGACTGCCTTTACAGTCAACACAGACAGTAGTAAAGGTGACATGGCAATGATGATGGTATTATTGTGATGATGATGCATTAACTATGATAAGCTGTTGTTGTTATAATCATAACAACAAATTAACTTAACTGTGAGTCAGCAACCTGTGGAAGGACACAAAATGTTAGCCAGGAAGACTAAAACAAAACGATCTGGGTTCAGGATCACAGAGTATAGATCTACACTGCACACTGCTTCATGAGTGCATTCATCATTATGTATATGCATTTATTATGCATTCAGCATTATTATTCGGTACGGTTCATTTATGATTTCTGTATCTTAATTGGGAATCTCCATCTAACTGAACTGAACTGGTTTCATCTCTCTGTTCTCCTCCCCACTGATAGCTGGTGTGGGGTGAGTGTTCTGGCGCACTATGGCTGCCGTCGCATCATCCTGGTGGGGCTGCACACTGGTGGTGGTGGAGGGGAGTCCCCATTACCTGTAAAGCACTTTGAGTGGAGTATCCAGCAGAGCACTATGTAAGTGTAATAATAAAAATAATAATAATAATAATAATAATAATAATAATAAAAATAAAAATAAAAATAAATAATAATAAATCCTTAACTACCGCTTCCTTATTATAACAGTTCTTAGAACATAATGTTTTAATTTCTGTTCCGTGTCAAGCGGCTTTATTCCGTAGTTACCTGCACGCAAGTCACGCAGGGCTCGTTTCAAATCACGATCCCCCGCTCGGCGGAACCGAGCTACAGTATAAGCGGTTCTTCCTTGTCCAATCTGCGCCTTCAAATATGAAAGCTACTCAGATTTGTATTATGATCATTTTTTTGCATGGTATTTAGCACGCAGATCGTTTGCGCCCAGACAGCCAGAAAGCCCCGCACAATACTGCTGTAAGAAGAGATCCCCGGTGATGCATTGACGAGGCGCTCTGGTGACTGATGCCCCTTGACGAGGCGTGTGAGGCGAGTGTGATTTGCACTAGTTACTACAGCGAGGGCTGAGCGCTGTAACCCGACTGCAACCTGGGGCGCGCAGGCGCAGTGCCGCGACTCGCTACAGCGCCTGTAATGGCTGCTGGCTGAAATGACTCAGATGCTGCTGCTCCGTCTGTTTGGAATTGAGAGCGGAATCGACACCGTTAACTTGGGCATACCTGAGTTAAAATGGTTGATTTCCGACCGGAGAAGCATCGCGAAACAGAAACTAACGGAGTGAAGTGAGTCCTATTCCTGTAGGTAGACCGGTTTATGTTTCTTATTTGTTACGGAGGGGGGGACGGGACGGAAAATAGAAGCGGAGTAGCGGCGCTCGATTGTGTGTGTGTGTCCCTGTGTTTGCTCCCGTCGTGGCAAAAATGAGAAGAGACCTACGTAGGTTATCGTGGTTTATTTGAACACCTGTTTCTGTTTTGCACACAGGTTGTTTTACAAATCGCATTCTGGCTTTGGGATTCGGTTCGGGATGTAGATTCCGTGTTATACCAGCAAAGCCCGAGTCCGTTTTCCTGCCTGTTGTAACTCGGGGCTCTTTTTTTTTTCCGGGGACGAGATTTCCCTCTGTTGCGCCGCGTTTAGCGTACTTATCCAGCAATGCGGTGTTGTTTTATTAAAAAATAAATACACAAGCGTTATTTGTGTACGTGTGTCTTAAGTAAGTGTGTACCCATTGTGTACCCATTTTGCTATATATTTCACCACCAACACGATGAGTTACGTAGTTTTACGGTGTGTGTCTGTGGGTTGCCCTCGTCTTTTCCGTTTGTACGGCCGCGAAAATGGCTGTGAAGTGCTCGCGAGCCGACCCTCGAGCCCTGCCTGCAGCCCGCGGGAGCCTCAGACGGCTTCCGAGGAGCTCGCGGGGTTACTGTAGTTCACGTCGTGCGGCGCTGCGGCGCGGCAGGAAACGAGAAGGCCTTCAAAGTTCAAGCCTCCGCGGACGAAGTGGCCACGTTTGCCCGGCCGCACGGCGGGGTCTCTCCCTGCCTCTGTCAGCGGGTTACGTAACGCGTTTCGCTTGACCACAGCACTTAACACGTACGCGTACCGAGGTGATGATTGGTGTTGCATACCTTGCGTTGCCACGACAAAGTGGCTACGGGTGCTTTTCTGGAATAGAAACAGCGAAACGCACTTCTATTAAAAAAAAAAAGACCGTGCCTTATCTTTCAGGCTTACTATTATTGGGAATGTTGGGGTTAGTTTAGTTTTGGCTGACGCCTTCACCCCGATGTTATCTTTAGATAACACGACGCATTGTTCCCGCCGGCGATAGTCTCATGAGCGGTCAGAGGTTGAGAGAGACGATTCGTGCGATTAACAAAAGGATAAAAGAGGTCACAGGTGAGAGGAGGCCGTTCGCTCGGTGGGGTTGCTTGTACCGGATCTGATCGATCCGATCATCTCTTTCAGCAGTTTGTAACAGAAACAGGCTCGTCAGCTTTCGATGACGCGAAGATGGGCAGCTTGTTCCAGACTCCCACAGCCCTTTGTGTAAAGAAGTGACACCTTTTCTTAATATTAAATGCACTCACACGCAGCTTCCCCTGCTTTCACTGTTGATTCTGAAAAGGGCATATGTCCTGAAAACAAATAGTTCAGTTCTAGTTTGAATTGATGGAAAGATATGCTTTGGGGCCTCCTGAGTACAGTAATATTGGGTAAAAAGACTGTTATTGTGAGACTAAAAATATCTTCTAGAAACTCAGTAAGGAGTGACAGATTCCTCACAAACTGGATCATAGTATTGATCCAATGGGACACTGAGACAAGAAGCTCACCTTTCAAGTCGATTTAAGAATTGGTGAGGTGTAGAATTGTGGACAATTGAAAAGGAATTACTGTATGGTTAAATGATAAATTACACAGCCTTACTGTTGTTTTATGTAAAGCAGTGACAATTAAAAATGTACATGCACGGAAATGCATGTGCTGAATATCTCAATGACATGTAAATACAGAAACAGTCTGGTGGCCTGTGGAGGACTTGATGTACCGGAAAATGCGTCTTGCTCATTTTATTATTTTGACATATTTCCGTTGAACAGCACTTCAGTAAGTCTGTGTGTGGTCTGTTTTCCCTTTCTTGCATGTGGATAAAGTGGCAAAAGTTGCACAAGAAATTAGTTGTGGGGAATTATCATACTGAAAAAAAAGTTTCATTATGTTAGTATGGGATTAAAAGTGACACAGACTTTAAATTATAGGTGAGGACCCAGTTCATCCACTTAAAGCTTAATGCTACTAAGAAGAAATGGTAAAGGTGTGTGTTGCTGTTTGGTTTAGATGTTGATTTTTTGTTGTGTTTATCTTATGGGGTCAGGGTTTGTTGACTGGTGTGGCCTTGTGGCTTTGAAGATCAACATCTGCCTGTTTTGTGATCCCGACAAGAGGTGCTGACCTAGACTACAGTGTAGTGGAGTCCTGAAACCAAGCAGTTACACTGTGGGTGGAGTAATCTGCTTGTTTCATGCCTAGGGAAACGAGGGACAGACCTTGCTCATAATGAAATGTACAGTGACTTTTTTTTTATCTTCGGATCTTCATGCTTGGATGGAAAAGGCACTTCTACGTGTGGAGCTTCTTGTCTGGGGACAAGCTGGGGTTAATTCTGTGCCGAAAAGATGAAAAATCAGTGTTTCTGCATCGCCTTCTCTTTGGAATTAACCTTCTTGCTCCTTTGCTGCCCCCTTCCATCTGACCCCTTCCAAATACCTTATTTGTACTCCAATGATAATCCCTGTGTTTGAAAAAGGTTTAGTTGGATTACACAATTTAATATTCCTGCTCGCAGCTCCTCCTTGCACTGTCCAGCTCTGCACTTTAAAAGAAGGCAGCCGCAGATGCAGCTGTGACATCGCAGTGAGGCGCTCTCAGCACCTGCCTGGAAGGCAAATCAGGTCGCTGCCATCAGTGATGACTGTGGACCAGTAGGTGGTGCTCTTTCCCCTGGATCAGAATTCCCACCCAGTGCATACCATACAGTGACCATACCTTGTTGCAGGACCTACTGACTGATTACACCAAAATCCTGAATACTTGGTCATTAAATACCTCAGGGCACTGTTCATTACAGTTGGGGGTGGCAACTCCAGTGTCCTGTCTAAGCTCCAGTCTGGGCTCGCATAATTCTAGCCTCCCTTAAGATTCCCTCAATTCAACTAGTATGGCAGTTTCCCACTCCTCCCCACTGGTCTGCCATGCAGCGCAGCTGCTGACGCAGAACCATTGCTGCTGCATGTCACTCAGGTGAGATCTGCACTTCAGAGGTGGGAGAGGCAGGGTGAAAAGCAGTGTTGTTGCAAGCAATGATTAGTGTTGCACAGTACCTCGGGTCAAATCAGTGAACACTTTGTAGCGCAGTGTGAGTTTCGGAGTGCTTCGTGGTCCCCGGCGAACGTACATTGTTTTCACCAATGTGGCTGGGCAGCTTTTTCCAGATTCCCACAACCCTTTGTGTATGGAAGTCCCTCCTGTTCTCAGTTTCAAATAAACAAGGTCACAAGCGGAAGTTTATTCTAAGTTTGCACTGACACGTCGACACCCATTTTAAAGCCATTATTTTATTATATCCGTGAAGTGAGAACAAATTCTCATTTACACTGGCTGCCCAGAGTCCCATTGGTGCAGCTGGGTGTTTTGTGGGTTGGAACTGAATGATGAGTATTTTGCTTGGGGACTCTATGGCTTCTGTGACATCCTATCCCTGCATTTAATAAATAATGTAGGCCCTTCCCTTACAGAGCACTGTGTAGAGGGAAATGTTGAAACAGCAGGCAGTAATAGCCACACAATGCAAACTTGTTGGCGTGTGCATGCGACTCAGTGATGAGCAGACTGCAGAGTCTCTCCTCTGCACGTCGTCATGATCCCGCTAGCTGCGTGGGCACTCGCCAGCATTGGTTTGTCCGTGCCTTGAGGGTGTGCTTTCGCAACACCCATCCACCCGCTTTGTACCCGTTTCCTCCAGTTCAGGGCTAAGGGGGGCCGGAGCCTAACCCAGCAATCCACAGGCGCAAGGCAGGGTACACCCTGACTGGAGCACCAGTCCACTCCTGAGCCACACAGACACACCCACTCCCACCAGCGCCAATTTCCCCAGCTGCCAGTTTATAATAATAATAATAAACTTTGAGAAGGTGGCTTCTCAAAGCGCTTTACAGAATGAGAAAAATGAAAGAGAAAACACAATTACAATACACAGAGGAGACCGTGGATGGTGGTACTAAGAAAGGCAGAGGGGTAAAGAATGGAACCAGTGCAGTAAAGGCTCTTCTAAAGAAGAGGGTCTTGAGTCTGGATTCCCAGCAGTATGTCTTTGGACTGCGGGAGGAAACGAGAGCCACCAGAGGTAACCCATGCGAATGTGGGGAGAACATGTGAACTCCAGGCAGATAGTGCCCCAGGAAATGAACCCAGGGGCCCCAGATCTAGCAGTGCTAACCAGTGCTCCCCTGTACTGCTCCAAATCACCACGGCTTCCTGGAGTGTACAGCGTGCTTGTTGGCCGCCTCCCTGTCCGTCACATCTGACGACTGAAGCTTCAGTCTTGCCTCACTTCACCTGCTGATTGTCCCAGCAGCCCCCGGGATTAATTCCCGCGTGGAGCTGTGAACGTGTCAGCAACTGATCTGTTCGTTTGTGTCGTGCTGTGCAGTTATGTCAATGTTAGTATAACCGTAAACGTGCTGGGTCTCATGTCGTGGCTCACGGCAGTCCGATAGTGTCTTGTAATAAGTGTGGCTCTCCGAAATTCCTGCTGTTTCAGTGCCTTCTTCCTCCGAGCGTCCCAGCTTTCGCTGTTGCTTTCCCTGCTCCGAGGTGGGCGTGATGCTTGTGTTGCTAACAGGAAGTGTCGTCCGCGAAGCCTCGGTCGCCTGCCTGTTATCAAGGAGCTGCAGCTCGAAACGTTCGGGCACTGACCATGGAAACGACGGTAAAATGGAAGTAGCTGTTGTTTCTTTCCTCGACACAGGGCTTTGTTTTTTTTTTAAGTGCTCTAATTGTTTTTGTTAAGGTGCTTCCAGCTCCTTGTCTCCCTGTAGCTCTTCTGTTGAATCCGACAGATTCCTGCTGGGATGTGGGGTTGCTGATGAGGACTTTAGGTCTTCGCCGTGGGTGATAATTTTTCTGCCTTTTAGACGAAGGCCTCCGAGTCGTGACCTGCCTGCCTGCCGCTCTGTACAACCCCTCAAAAGAACTGGCAACACTGTGCCTGGCTGCCCAAACAATCACATCATTGCATTTAGTCCCCGTCACTTTGTTAGAAGAGCTGTGCGCTGATTCCCTGCTTTAGGTTTGACTTTCCCAGTTGCGTCAGTTTGCTCCCCAAGTCTCGGTTTTGGGCAGGTGCTCCTGCGAGGGGCTGAACTCGCTGCTGGCTTGAAATATGGAGTGTAATTTCACGTGCGGAGCGACTCTGGGTGCAGCTCGGGGTCATCTGGTGAGCCGAATGCAAAGGTCATGTTGACACGGGCAAGCGCTCTGCTGTATAGTGTTGTGTGCCAGGCACTGCTGCGCTGAATCCATCGGTTGCCCGTGGAATTGATCACACATGCCGAGAAGAAGGACCCGAGTTCCAATATGGATATCTGCTCCTGTCTTGGTGGAGTGTGCACGTTCCCCGGTGTTCACATGTGGGTTACTGCCCCTATGTAAGTAGGCAGGCGTTTATTTTGATTGCTGCAAATTTCCTTCAGCTTGGAAGAAGGGGGTAAGGGGGGTGTTCCCATGTGGCAGGCAGCTGCACCCCCCCCACGCCTCATTCTGTCTGCTTCTGTGCCCTCGGCGTGACCTCATCCTCTTGTCCCCCCCCCCCCAGCAGTCTAGAGCAAGCCTAGCGAGACGGGGAGCATGGCGCTGAAGGAGAAGCTGGAGGCCGCGCTGAACGTGGGGCTGAGGGTCCCCAGCATCATGCTGCTGGACGCGCTGTACCGCTGGGACGTCAGCTCCTTCTTCCAGCAGATCCAGAGGAGCAGCCTCAATAACAACCCCCTCTTCCAGTACAAGTACCTGGCGCTGTACCTGCACTACGTGGGTGAGTAGCAGCTCCTGTCCTCTCTCTCTCTTACGTGCACAGGCCCTTTGTCTGCCCCGCGAGGCGTCCTGGATTAGGGCGAGTGCTAAGCAAATAGGGATACTGATAACTTGGCCTTTTGTGGCTGGGACAAAAATGAGAAACATCCCATAGCTTTACCAGGGGAGTGAGTAATGAGCACTGTTTATAGAAACTGTTGAACCCTGTGGGAGCAGTGAACTGGCCTGACCTGTGTGCTACAGGGAACAGGCTGTGCTCCGCTAGCTTTGCTGCACAGCTAGGTGATCTGCGCCAGAAAAGGAGAGCAGGCTTTGAATCAGTGCTTCAGATCTCTGTACGCCCACAGTGGCTCCCCCCTTGCTGTTTTTTCCTGATGTACTGTAATAGTAGAAGAGGTTTGTTTTTTTTTTTTAAGTGTCAAGCAGGTTACATGACAGCCTTGTTTTGAGGTCCTCCTTCAAGGGCTGTGGATGAGCAGAGCTGTCACTGCAGGAAGAGCCTCCTGTAGGTTTTCAGCCGCTCGGTTTATCAGACCCTCACTAGGCCATTGCCACGATCAAGCGATGATGAGCCCAGTCTCGACAGCAATCCCTTCCATGCAGAGAAGATCTGAACACTCAAGATATTTCAGGGGGTTAGGGGGGCCCGATCTGCCATTCCCAACATTTGGGGGGGTGTCCTGCGCCAGGGCAGGGGTTATTCCTGGTGGGGGGAGGTTCGAGGGAGGGGTCGTCTCGGACTGAGGGACTGTTCTTGGCGGGGGGGAAGGGAGTTGTTATTGTTTAATGCTTGTTTTTTTGATTGCTCTGAATACAGAATAAACCATTTGATCCTGAACAAGAAATACTCCTCTAACAGACAGTTTAAACAACTGTTAAAAGCCCTTATGTCTGCAGCTTAGCTTCAGGTTTGTTACTGCTCTGTCTCTATTAGTGGATTGCTCTATTAGTGGAAAAGGTATAAAAAAGACATAACTATGGTGCAAGGGTTTATCTGAGAAAGTAATGAAGCTTCAGGGACATCTGTCATGTGTTTGAACCACAGACCTGTTGGGAGCTAATCTTTTGTTTGTTACAGTTAAAGGCTGATCTGATTGAGCAGTGAACTCCTCCATTAAGTTGCCATCTTTAAGTAAAGATATCAGCTAAATTTATGAGTATTATCATGTTTGATTTCCTTTCTTCATTGCAATATTTGTTTTGGAAAAGCGTATTACCAGTAGAAACAAAACTAATACTGTATTTGAAAGCAGATTGGAGTGAACCGCTCTAAAGAGACTCTAAAGGCCTAGGATGAAAAACTGATCAGCCTCTGCGGCTTACACATCTTATATCTTGAGGGTGGAATCGTTTGCAGTCCGTTTTTTAATTGGTAAAAAAAAGGTTGTGTGCCTGGATATGCCATAGGAGTGCATTTTTTGGTGAGTGTCCAAACTCTGCACGATCTTGAAAGTATGTTGTTTTTTAGGATTTTAAGTTATTGTTTTATGATGATCTTTTTTACTCACTGGCTACCTCTTCACTAAGCTTGTGCTCATTAGTTATTTAAGAATGGCTTTTTTTTCCCAGTACGAAACAGGTCCAGCACATCAAATATCCTAAAATATCTATGCTGTCTAAGTGAGATGTTCTTACTGTGAGCTGAACCAGGGGAAACCACATTCCTCCCACTGAGCCTGCCGATAGGTGGGTGTTGTGCAAGTCCAGGCTCAGCAAAACTGCTCGATAACACTTTTTAGGTATTACTGCCCTGTCTGCATGGTTCCTGTCTATCTTGTAACATTATTTTTCATGCTCTGGAAGAATTCATGAACTCAGTTTGCTATAGCTGAAGTTTCAGAATTCGGCAGGGTGTACTGTTACAACCAAATGATAAAGCTTTGCCCTCTTTTTGTATACAAAAGAAGATAAGAATCATGAGAGAAGGCTTCTCGGCCTGGTTAACTTATTTGGTGGCTTGTTCCATCCTCCCACAACCCTTTGAGTAAAGAAGTGCCCGTCCTCCCCCAGCCCTGGCAGTGTGGGTAAGTGGACTAGTGTGTGTGTTTTGTTTTTTTTTAAGGGAGAGCAGGGTTAGTTCTTAACCCCATTACCTTGAAGTGTAGTTTTAGAAACCGGATCCTGTTTGATAGGGAGAGTGTTGTGAGCTGTGTGCGGAAGGAGACACTGGCTCAACAAGTGTGCTCCCAAAGTGCTGCAGGGATTTGAATGGAGTTGTTGAGGCGTGTTATTGGTCCTGATTCACTGGGTGCCTATTCACAAAGCCCCAGCTCATGAGTTATTTAAAGAATGATTTTTTTTTCTCTCGCAGCGGTTCACACAGGAAACCATTCTGCCCTCTTTTTGGCCTGAGCGGCAAGAGAGGACAATAGGCAGTTGTACCCAGTCAGTCTCCCGCAGTATAAACTGCTGACTAGGGCACTGTTCTATCCCAGAGAGAACGTGGCCGGCCACTGTCGCTGGGTTCATTACACCCAATTAATAAAAGTCAGGAAGAACAACGGACAAAACTCGATTGGAAGTAGCGGCTCTCGTTCGCCAGCTTGGTTTTAGGATGGAAAGATGTGGGAGGGATGAGTGGGTTTGGCTCAAAGTACCAGCTTCTGGAAAAAGCATGTCAGCAGTATAAGTGTGTACCGGTTTCCTAAGAATAGCTTTTTATTTTCAGTGTGCTGCTACAAGTGCAGGAGAGGCGGTTTGATGAGAGTTAGATAATTGTATGGGGATTACCCTACCTTGAGGAGTTACCCTGTGGTTAAGACGCTGAGTCTTGGTAAGGTGGAGAGGGTTGTACTTAACTATAACAAGAGCGGTAGTTGAAATCTCCTTCTCCAGGCCTTCAGTGGTTTATTGAGTATATCTTTGGTAATAAATCCCCAGACAACTCTAAATGGGAGCCGGATCTGTGCTTGTGTCATTCTGGCTGGGAATAGTGAAAGGCTGCCTTCTGTCTCCATTCACGTGAAAATCCCCGTGCGCTTGTGGTTGGCCTTTTTCTGATGCGAACCGCAGGTGTTCGTCCTCCTGTTTGTAATTTTGCGCAGCTGTTTGTCCTTCTGTTCGGGGCTGCGCAGGTGCAGAAAGGCGGCTGACGCAGGTCCTGCGGCCCTTTGAGAAACGGAGACGCACGCAGGGGTCTGGATTTGGGTCTTTACTCCAGAGCTGGAAAACGAAACCCATTGTTTTATTTTTTGAAATGTCGTTCCTCGGGAGAAAAATGAAAGGTGACTTTGTTTTTTACTAATTGTGGATTTAGATGAGTAAAACACCTGGCTGACATGGGTAGTAGTCTTAATCAAGACCAGGGATGCCTAGCTTTATTCCTCTGAGGTCCGTGAACTGTCAGAGAAAAAGCACCGGTGTTATATGAATAAGTCATTAAACCATCCCATCCGGATTGCCCGTTCCCCGGATTCAAAGGTGCCCGTTTTGTGATTGAGGATGTCCTGGTCAGAATCCGCTACTGAACAAACCGGCTTGAACAGCTTCTATTGAAATGAATTGGGATACACTGTGCATTCCAGTGTATTCCCAACTCCAAGCCGTCCTGCAGAGCTGTATTTCGGGCCTGGCTGTCTCTGAAACGTCCTGTCTGGGGCGCGGATCAGCAGGGAACAGCGTCCCGCAGGCCGGAGCATGGGAGCCCCTTTGCTGAAGAGATACCCAGCACAGAGCCCTGCAAGATGGCCTTATTCCAGATGCCTTGGGGAGTGTCCCCTTGTGTGGTCTTTGTTGACTCCCTTTGCTTTTCCTGATTCAGAGTCTTTCAGGGGTTTCATGCCACTCTTCAACCCCTCCCCCCAGCTTTTCTCTCACCCCACAGGGCATGGAGCTGTTCTCGAGTCTACACTGGGACCAGAGATTGCCAGACTGGTCCAAGATCCTGGCTTAAGAATCCCCAGGCTCTGTCTTCCTGTTGGTTCTGGCCTTCAGCTGATCCTGCTCCAAGGGGCGTGACCCTGCGCTTGTTGGCATTTTGCAGTCGACCGCGAGCGACAGGACGAGACCAGTGGCTTAAGCTTGCGTGAAGGCACCGAAAAATGACCGATAAACATCCCTTCCCGTTTTCTATTGCCTTGCTGCATCCGTGCAAGGATCGCCAACACTCGCGCTGAGTGGGCAAGACGAGCTAAGATCTGAAGATCTGAATTTGATCACTTTGGATAAAAGAAGGAAAATGTTGTTCGGTCTCCCCCCCCTCCCTCCCGGAGAGCCCAGTTCAGCTGGGAGAAGAAGAGCCACCGGTTCCAGTCTTGCAGAGTGAGGGGCTCAGTCGCGTGCCGGGAAAGGTCTGGTGTCAGGTCATGCAGGGGGCCGAATGGGCCTGGCCTGCAAGAAAACCCCATCGCTCATACACTCGAGTTACAGCCTTGTGAGCGAAAAGGCGTTTTGAGACCTTTTGTTCTCTCCCCTCGTTGTTATATTTAGCTGAGGTGAAGAACCGCGGGCTTTGTGGCGCTGTGCGGAAGTAGAGCGCAGTCTGATAAAAGGCAAAGAAGAGCAGGCCCAGAAGGGAAGGAGGGGTGCAATCTGAAGCGTCAGCAAACCCAGCAGCTTGCAGGGCTGCCGAGAGCACGCAGAGCAGGTTGTTTTTCTAAACTTCGCTGCGCTGACTTCACACCTGCAGCGTAATCTTAGGTGTCTCGGCCTCTTCCTGCACCTGCAGTGATGGCGAACTCTGGTGTGATGTGGTCTTTCAAAATGCTGAGAGAGACCGGTGAATGAAGGCAACAGTGTTAGAGGAGGGCAGGAGGAATGAGACAATAAGGAGGGTTGCTCACCAGGGGAAAATGTTCAGCCCACCTGTTACCAGCCTTTGACTTTGACAATTTAGTGTTTTTCTATGCTCCCGAACGCCTTATCCAGTAAATCGCGGGATAACAGTGTGAATGGGGGTCCCTGCAGTAGGCTGGATGTGGCTGTCTTGAGTCTGGGACTGTGACTGTTGGAGGGATGAGTGGGTCCTTGGTGTGACCCCTTTAGCCTTTTCCTGAAACGTACCTGTACCACAACCCCATGTGAAACCGGAATCGGTCTTCTATTAGATCCTAGCCGTCAAAGATGGTTAGTCTTGGTACCTTCATTCCAGAGCTTTACTCCAGCTAATAACTGAATTATCAGGATCTTCAGCACTTGGGATAATTAAGCAGTAAAGGGTCAATTCTGTAACTAAGTGGAAGGTTCAAAGTCCTGGAACTGCATGCAATTTTACTGTGAAGCTTTTGCTCCAACTAACACACAGTTATTAAAGCATTGATTTTCAGCACCTGAGTTAATTAAGCGATTAACGGTCAATTAAGTCATTTATGGGGAGGGTTAAGGAACCTCTCCTGCCCTGTGTTGTCTTTGTCCTTGTCCTGTCTGGGTAAGAGGGAGGTGTTGTGGAGAGCAGAGAAGATCCACAATTGGCAAATCACGAATTCTGGGATGTGTAAAACACGACTACAGGGATCCGTTGGAAGAGCGCGTCTCGAATTAGGACTGCACAGTAATTCGAAGGTTTTCTCCCTTTAATTTCCGAAAGCTGTGCACAACGGAAAACGCTTCTGAAGGACTCCATAGTTGCATGGGTGCCGGTCCTGTTCTTGTGAGGCCTGCCTGGCATACAGAGCGACAGCTAATCCCTACCTTTCCTCCTTCGTTAAGCCATTTCCAGGGAAAACCCTCGCGGCTCTGCCTTTTAAACTCGAGCATGAATTGAGGAGAGAGGCACTTGAAGCAGCCTCTGTGTGTCAGAACGGATCGGATCTTTCGTTCCGTGGAGAGAGAGGCTCCCTGCTTATTTCCATCACCTTGTCTCGGAAGCTGCTCTGCACTTTTCCTCTGCAGGAAGCTGTCGCAGTTTGGTCAAGTGAGCAATCCCGTTGTTGTTTTAGGGTCGCCACTGTAACAAGTCTGGTCTACCCTTGCAGGATCAAAAAAAGTGTTAAGTGTTGGGGTTCAAGCCGTGGGGTTTCTAAGAACCTTTTAAGTCCGTGCTTGATAAACGTCTATAATGCACGTGGGAGGGAAGATGCCAGCTTGCAGTCAGACTGAGCGTTTATACCCCTTTCTGACTGTCAGCATCACTCTTGGGGATGTCTGGGTTGCAGCGGGAGGACAAGCTCTTTACAAACACAGGCTCCTGCCGTGTAAGCCAGAGTTTCCATAGGTGCAGGCTGCTGCTATATTTGGCATCGGGCGTTGCATAATAAGACGGATGAGACATGCTTTGTCGGCGAGCTGGCGTTTCTAAATCCGAAAAACTGCAAAGCCTTAATCATTCGCCTGCGTCACGCGTCTGCTCCGACTGCGGCGTCATCGAACAGCCTCTTTTCCCAGCTCGTCTCGGCGAAGGGCTAGAATGAGAAATATCTCTGTTTCTAATGTCTAAGAGAAATACCGGCAGCCATATCAACCTGCAACTCACAGCTGGCAACCCGCTGAAGGCTCAGCAGATGTGAGCCTTGCCAGTACCTGGATGGGAGACTCCTGGGAAAGCTAAGGTTGCTGCTGGAAGGGGTGTTGGTGGGCCCAGCAGGGGGAACTCACCCTGCTGTCTGTGTGGGTCCTAATGTCCCAGTATAGTGACGGGGACACTGTACTGTAAACAGGCACCGTCCTTTGGATGAGACATAAAACCGAGGTCCTGCGTCTCTGTGGTCATTCAAAATTCCAGGGCGTTTAAAAGAGCAGGGGTGTTCCCCCGGTGTCCTGGCCAAATTTCCCTTTGGCCCTTACCTATCATGGCCTCCTAATAATCCCCATCTCTGAACTGGCTTCATCACTCTGCTCTCCTCCTCACTGATAGCTGGTGTGTGGTGAGTGTACTGGTGCACTCTGGCTGTCGTTGCATCATCCAGGTGGGGGCTACACACTGGTGGTGGTGGAGGGGAGTCCCCATTACCTGTAAAGCGCTTTGAATGGAGTGTCCAGAAAAGTGCTATAGAAGTGTAAGCAATTATTATTGATTATTATCTAAGATGGGGCAGCAGGCTGTAATGAGTGGATGGGCACTGCTAATTGCATATTATACTGAGTAATTGGTGTATATAACATTTGTTTTCAATAAACGTTTTTTAATGGCGTACATTGTTTTAAAGAAATAAAACCCAAGTCCAGCCTCTAGGTCTGCTTTACTCTTTAAACATGCACTGGAATATTTGTTAGATTAAGGCTTCTTTCCACACGGGACACTTGACCATGTACCAGAGGTCATGGCCTATCAGGTCACCTGTCCTGGATCAATAGCGTCTTAGCCTTTTCTTCCTGTCACATGACATTGTGCACTGCATTTTTAAATTCCTAAGCTGTGTTTGCATCTGTCAAATTTAAATTCATTGACAGCCTGCGTAGATCAGCTTAAAGGCAGGGCTGTTCCTGTTGGAGGGTGTTTTTCTGTCAGATCGTTTGTTTCTTGTTGCTTTGCCAATAGATGCTGCTGAGTTTGCATCTGTGTCTTCTTCAGTATTCCTTTTAAGTGGTGGTTAGGTGTGTCCCTGAGGGAATTCCGTATTTCATACGGGAGCTCTCCTGTTCGTGCAAGGAAGCCAAAGTGAGATGAATCCTTCTTGAGGGGGGAAATGATTTATTGCTGCTTCAGTTGAAAGGCAGTTTTGAGGGCGTTGAGAAAAGATAAGAGAGATCGGGTGTTGTCAAGCGATAAACCTGTACCATGTTAAATGACCAGGGGCACAAATGCATGACCCAGGTTGATCCTTCTCTAAAACGGGGGGCCTCCAGCCATCTTTCTGAAGAACCTCAGTCTGTTCTTCTAGTGATGAAGCACACTTGAATTTATGACTCAAGTGCGCAAGTGGTTTGTTCTATTGAGGCGCCAAATGACCTGTTGTAAAAAAAAAAAAAAGCTCTTGCTTCATTGCTGTAGAAATGTATGATTATATTGGCTGCCTATACAATTTTCAGGCTGGGGGCCCTGGATATTAAGTTTGGAGACTCTTGTAACAGTATAATATAGAAACCCAGCAGATTTTTTTATAGCAGGTGAGACAAACTGGAAATTGCTGACTTTATTGCAGAGTCTTTTTCTGAAGTCTACTTAATCTTAATTTGTGTTAACAAAAACACTCATAACATGCCTGTCTATTTTTTTCTTTATTGTCCCCTTGGCTTCTTACAGCTTATTGATCCATGAACATGGTCATCAAATCATTGTCTCCTTAGAATGACCCGTCGGTAAGGCAGGGGATGTAGAGATGATGCAGGCTCTCTTTTTTTTGTCCACCGCATACTG